AGTTAGAGACCAGTCTGAACAACATGGTGAAACCCCCATCTCAATTAAAAAAAAAACAAAAAAAAGATTAAAATTTTTTTTAAAGAGACTTAAAAGACTCTACAGGCTCATGCCCGTAATCCCAGCACTTTGGAGGCTGAAGCAGGAGGATAACGAGGTCAGAAGATCGAGACCATCCTGACTAATCAAGACCCATCTCTACTAAAAACACAAAAAATTAGCTGGGCATGGTGGCAGGTATCTGTAATCCCATCTCCTTGGGAGGCTGAGGCAGGGGAATTGCTTGAACGCGGTAGGCAGAGTATGCAGTGAGCCGACTGCATGCGTAGACTTAGTTTAGATCCAAATTCAAACAAAGTGTTTTGTAAAAAGACATATTTTGAGCCAGGGAAATCAGAAAATGGACCTACATTAGATGTTAAGGAATTGTCAGGAGCTGTGATGATGGTATTTTGGTGGAGTTGTTTTTTTTTTTTTTTTTTTTGAGATGGAGTGTCACTCTGTCACCCAAGCTGGAGTGCAGTGGTGCGATCTTGGTTCACCGCAACCTCCGCCTCCTGGGCTCAAACGATTCTCCTGCCTCAGCCTTCTGAGTAGCTGAGATTACAGGCGAGTGCTACAACAGCCAGCTAATTTATTTATATATATATATATATATATGGGGTGAGGGGGGGAGAGGGAGTTTTGCTCCTGTTGCCCAAGCTGGAGTGCAATGACACGATCTTGGATCACTGCAACATCCGCCTCCTGGGTTCAAATGATTCTCATGCCTCAGCCTCCCGAGTAGCTGGGATTACAGGCACGCACCACCACACCCAGCTAATTATTTTGTATTTTTAGTAGGAACAGGGTTTCAGCACGTTAGCCAGGCTGGTCTTGAACTCCTCACCTCAGGTGATCTGCCCGCCTGAGCCTCCCCAATTGCTGGGATTACAGGTGTGAGCCACCGTGCCTGACCAGTATTGTAGTTTTGATTTTACAAAATTTTTATTTGTTAAAGATGCTAACCGAAATATGCAAGGGTGAACTAATGTCTTGGATTAGCTTTAAAATATTATTCCAGGCACCCCAAAAACATTTAGAAAGAAAAGATATAACCAGAATGGCAGAAAGTTGCTGTGTGGGAAGATCTTGGTGAAGGAGGGTTCACCCTACTCTCCCTACGTTTGTGCATGTTGGGCAATTTTCAGAATAGAAAGGTAACCAAACTGTGGATGCCTGAGGCCTTGGGCAAACAAGGCCCAGCCACCGCCACCGTGGGAGGAACAAGATCGCTTCAAGCCTGGAATTTCATCAGCCCTCCACTTGCAGCAGTGAGCCGGGGACATCCAACACCCGGGGTTGGGTGACAATGGCCTTCCTGCATCCTAGTCTCTCTTCACCCCATCATCCCCAGGCAAGTGCAAACTGGCCCCATGAAAAATCAGGCCATGAGGGCAAAGGCATCTTGAGGAGCAAGCCAGGGAGAGAGGGTGGGAGCCTTTGCAGTTCAGAGGTTTCCCAAGCACCTGAAGCACACACAGAAATGCAAACGCCAGATGAACAGAAAATGCTGGAACACACATACTGACCACGCATGAACCACAGAGGGGAAAGAGCACCCCCAGCACGGCGGGCCTGCCCAGCCTCAACCCAGGGATCAAACTCAACACTGACCAATGAGAAAGCAATGGCATAAACAGGCACCACGAGCCCTGATGTGGTGCTGTCTCAGTAAGGACACGTGATGCCTTCTGTAGAATTCTTGCCAGGAAAGCTAAGCCTGAGCCTAACCTGGAGGAAATAATCAGATAATACACACTGTGGGACATTTCAAAAGACAGTTCTGGGCCGGGTACGGTGGCTCACACCTATAATCCCAACACTTTGGGAGGCCGAGGTGGCCAGATCATGAGGTCAGGAGATCAAGACCATCCTGGCTAATATGGTGAAACCCCGTCTCTACTAAAAATACAAAAAATTAGCCAGGTGTGGTGGCTGTTATCTATAGTCTCAGCTACTCAGGAGGCTGTGGCAGGAGAATCGCTTGAACCCGGGAGGTGGAGGTTGCAGTGAGCCAAGATTACGCCATTGCACTCCAGCCTGGGCAACAGAGACTCCGTCTCAAAAAAGAAAAAGAAAAAAAGACAGTTCGGGTCTGTCAGAACCACAATGATATCACTTCACCTCCGCCAAGATAGCTAGAATCAACAAGGCAGACCGTAACAAGTACTGACAAGGATGTGGGGAAACCAGGCCCCGCCTGCCTTGCTGGGCAGGTAAAATGGTGCATCTGCCTTGGAAAAGGGTGACGGCTCCTCAAAATGTTAAGCAAAAGGTTCCCATATGACCCCGCAATTGTACCCCTAGGTGTGCACCACGAAATACTAGAAACATACGTCCACACAAACATTCGTACGTGGACGTTCACAGCAGCATCATTCACAATAGACAAAACGTGACATAAACCCAAATGTCCATCAGTTGATGATCAGGTAAATAAAAAGCCATAAAGAGGAATAAAGTACTGATCCTGCAATATGGATGAACCCTACAAACATGAAGCTAAATGAAAGAAAAGGCCAGATTGTACAGGACTCCATTCATACAAAAAGCCCACAGTTGGCTGGGCGCTGTGGCTCACGCCTGTAATCCCAGCACTTTGGGAGGCCAAGGCCACAGAGGGGAAAGAGCACCCCCAGCATGGCGGGCCTGCCCAGCCTCGACCCAGGGATCAAACTCAATACCGACCAATGAGAAAGCAATGGCATAAACAGACACCACGAGCTCTGATGTGGAGCTGCTTCAGTAAGGACACGTAATGCCTTCTGTAGAATTCTCGCCAGGGATCACCTGAGGTCAGGAATTCAAGACCAACCTGGTCAACATGGTGAAACCCCGTCTCTACTAAAAATACCAAAAAAAAAGTTGGCTGAGTGTGGTGGCGTGCACCTATAATCCCAGCTATTCGGGTGGCTGAAGCAGGAGAATCACTTGAACCTGGGAGGCAGAGGTTGCTGTGAGCTGAGATCACACCATAGCATTCCAGCCTGGGCAACAGAGACTCCATCTCAAAAAAAAAAAGCCCACAGCAGGCACATCCATAGAGACAGAAATACTGGCAGTTGCTTAAGGTTGGGAGTTGGGGCAAAGGAACGAAGTAGTGACTGCTAATGGTTAGAGTCTTTTTTTGGGGTGATGCAAATATTCTAAAATTGACTGTAGTGGCCGGGCGCGGTGGCTCAAGCCTGTAATCCCAGCACTTTGGGAGGCCAAGGCGGGTGGATCACGAGGTCAAGAGATCGAGACCATCCTGGTCAACACGGTGAAACCCCGTCTCTACTAAAAATACAAAAAATTAGCTGGGCATGGTGGTGCGTGCCTGTAATCCCAGCTACTCAGGAGGCTGAGGCAGGAGAATTGCCTGAACCCAGGAGGCGGAGGTTGCGGTGAGCCGAGATCGCGCCATTGCACTCCAGCCTGGGTAACAAGAGCAAAACTCCGTCTCAAAAAAAAAAAAAAAATTGACTGTAGTGACAGCTGTACAGTGCTGTGAATATGCTAAAACCCGCTGAGCTTTCAATGAATAAATTGTATGGTGTACGAATTATAGCTCAAAAAAAAAAAAAGACATTTAGTCTGTACTCTTCAAAAATGTCAATGTTGTAAAAAGTCCCTTCCTAGGCCAGGCGCAGTGGCTCAACCCTGTAATCTCAGCACTTTGGGAGACCAAGGTGGGAGGTTTGCATGAGCCCAGGAATTAAGAGATCAGCCTCGGCAGCACAGGGTTTTCGAGGTAAAACTGTCTCTACGAAAAATACAAAAAAAACAAAAAATTAGCTGGGCATGGTGGCACACGTTTGTAATCCCAGCTACTCAGGAGGTTAAGGTGGGAAGACTGCTTGAAACCAGGAGGCAGAGGTTGCAGTGAGACGAGATTGGGCCACTGCACTCCATTCTTGGCTACAGGGTGACGGCTTGTCTAAAAAAAAATTAATAATTAAGGCCGGGAGCAGTGGCTCATGCCTATAATCCAAGCACTTTGGAGGCTAAGGCAGGCAGATCACCTGAGGTCAGGAGTTCAGGACCAGCCTGACCAACATGGTGAAACCCTGTCTTAAAAAAAATAAATTAATAATAATAATTATTATTATTAAGTTCCTTCCTCCCCCAAAAGTGAGGGAACTCTGACACACTAGAGACATGAGCACCAAAGGCATAAGCAGTCCTTGATTAGGTGTTGAATTTTTTTTTTTTTTTTTGGGACGGAGTTTCGCTCTTGTTACCCAAGCTGGAGTGCGATGGCGCAATCTCGGCTCACCGCAACCTCCGCCTCCTGGGTTCAGGCAATTCTCCTGCCTCAGCCTCCTGAGTAGCTGGGATTATAGGCACGCACCACCATGCCCAGCTAATTTTTTTTATTTTTTTATTTTTAGTAGAGACGCGGTTTCACCGTGTTGACCAGGATGGTCTCGATCTCTTGACCTCATGATCCACCCACCTCGGCCTCCCAAAGTGCTGGGATTACAGGCTTAAGCCACCGCGCCCGGCCCCGGTGTTGAATTTTTTACAAGCTTTAAAGACAATGTGAATATGGACTGTAGATTACAAAATACTGTACTATATTTAAGATTCTTAGCTGAGACGATATTGTGGTTCTGTAAGAAAAAGTATGAAGATGTCTGCAACTAACTTTCTTTTCTTTTTTTTTGAGACAGAGTCTTGCTCTGTTGCCCAGGCTGGAGTGCAGTGGTGTGATCTTGACTCACCGCAAACTCCGCACCCTGGGTTCAAGCAATCCTCCTGCCTCAGCCTCCTGAGTAGCTGGGGTTACAGGTGCACACCACCACACCCGGCTAATTTTTGTATTTTAGTAGAGACGGGGTTTCACCGTGTTGAGCAGGATGGTCTCGATCTCTTGACCTCGTGATCCACCTGCCTTGGCCTCCCAAAGTGCTGGGATTACAGGCTTGAGCTACCGCGCCCGGCCCACCTGCAACTAACTTTCAAATGATCCTGCCAGCTTTGCGCAGTGGCAGTATCCTAGCCAATGAGGTTTATCTGAGGCACGATTATTGCTAATTGAAAACTCAAATGATCCTGCCAAAAAATGAAAATAAACGTGTGCGTGTATGAGATGTATTTGGAGAGAAAAAGAAAAGTTCGGGGGAAAATGTAAAGAACTGGTGACTTTAGGTGAGACGTTTACAGCTATTCTTTGTTCGTTTCTTTCAACTTTTTGGTACTTCGAAAAATTTTCAAAATACAAAACTATAGAAAACATTACCTTGATTGTGGTAATTTTTCACAAATATATATGTCAAAAGGTGTCAGCCTGTACACTTTAAATATGTGCAGTGTATTGAGGTATAGTGTAATTACACCTCAATAAAGCTGCTAAAATGTTGGTAGGGGAAAAAGAACTGGAAAGTGTCCAAGCTGTTTTGCTCAAAATACTTTCTTGCAAACAGCAAAAAAATGCAAGCCTCTTCATGAAAAAAAAAAACAAAAAAACAAAAAAAAACAAGTAAAAACAAAAGAACCCAACAGCTCAACAGAACAGCAAAAAAAACAAAGGACAGTTCCCAGAAAATACCCATGGATTCTGAATAAATGAAAAGACCATCTGTCTCATACATCATAAAGCCAAAAAGCCACTTTGTTGGAAGGGGCTTGGGAGCTAGCCTTCACATGTGGCTGGTGAGAGTGAAACTGCTATCACTCTTCGAAGGACCACTGAGTATCTTGCAACATGAACAAGGCGTACAGAGCCCTTCTATGCAAGAGCACAAGCAAACAGAGTTAATTTACATGGGTAGACACCAATACAATAGTGACCTGGGGGTGGGGGGGTCAGTGACCATGTGGGAGCAGAAAGGGACTTCTGGAGGCTGGAACAATTCACTTTTAGATCTGCTGGTCACAGGAGTATGTCTGGTGTGTGACAACTCATTATGCTGTAGATTGATGTATGGAAAAAAAGCACACCAACTACATTTCAATTAAAAATGTAAAACAGTGGGGAGGGTAGGTCAGGCGCAGTGGCTCATTCCTGTAATCCCAGCACTTTGGAAGGGTGAGGTGAGAGGATCATTTGAAACCAGGAGGTCAAGGCTGCAGTGAGCTATGTTTGCACTACTGCATTCCAGGCTGGGTGACAGAGCAAGAACCTGCCTCTTAAAAACAAACAAAAAAGGCCGGGCGCGGTGGCTCAAGCCTGTAATCCCAGCACTTTGGGAGGCCGAGGCAGGCGGATCATGAGGTCAAGAGATCGAGACCATCCTGGCCAACATGGTGAAACCCCGTCTGTACTAAAAATACAAAAATTAGCTGCGCGTGGTGGCGGGCGCCTGTAGTCCCAGCTACTCGGGAGGCTGAGGCAGGAGAATTGCTTGAACCCAAGAGGCGGAGGTTGCAGTGAGCCGAGATCGTGCCACTGCACTCCAGCCTGGCGCCTGGTGACAGAGTGAGACTCTATCTCAAAAAACAAACAAACAAAAAAAGCAACTTTTTAATAAAATGCACAGACCCTTTGGACTCAGCAATTCCATTTCTAACAATTTACAGATGAATATTTCTATGTGCACACAAAACAATACATACAGAACATATAGAAAGACCCACACTGCAGCCAGGTTTGGAGTGGCCCGAGATACGACCAACGTTAGCCATCACGGATAGGTTCAACGCCGGCACATCCTCACAGCAATGTGCTCTACAGCCCTTCACGAGGAGGAAGCAAAGTTCATGTACTGATAAGGTCTGATCTTCAACATTTTTTTTTTTCTTAAGACAGAGTCTCACTCTGTTGCCCAGGCTGGAGTGCAGTGGCGTGATCTCCACTCACTGCCATCTCCACCCCCCCGGGTTCAAGCGATTCTCCTGCCTCACCCTCCCAAGTAGCTGGGACTACAGGCACGCACCACAATGCCCAGCTAATTTGTGTATTTTTAGTAGAGACGGGGTTTCACCATGTTGGCCAGGCTGGTCTCGAACTCTTGACCTCACGTGTTCTGCCCGCCTCAGCCTCCCAAAGTGCTGGGATTGCAGGCATAAGCCACTGTGCCTGGACCTCCAAAATTTATTCATTTTTTTAAAAGCGGGCCAGTGCAGTGGCTCATGCCTGTAATCCCAGCACTTTGGGAGGCTGAGGCAGGTCGATCACTGGAGCCCAGGAGTTAAAGACCAGCCGGGGCAACATAGTGAACTGTCACCTCTACAAAAAATAAAAAGCTTAGCAGAGCGTGGTGGTGCACACCTGTAATCCCAGCTACCTGGGAGGCTGATGTGGAGGGATCACTCAAGCCTGGGAAGTGGAGACTGCAGTGAGCCAAGATGGAGCTACTGCATTCCAGCCTGGGCAACAGAGAGGGACTCTGTCTCAGGGGAAAAACAGAAACATACACAACAGTGAGCATAGTGCAAAATAAACAAAAAGGCAACCACAGGGAGCAGAATCTATAGGTCTATATATTTCTACATGTTCAGAATGGCTGGCTGCTTCTGAGAAGGGCGTGGGAGACAGGGTCAGGAGTGAGAGTGGAGTTAGCTTTCTAGCCTTCAGAACTACATGAAATTGTACTCCATGCAACTATGGCCGATGACCATGGGGGAAGGGTACTAGTTTCTCAGCTTGGCATTCAGGATGTTCCCACCACAGCAGTCCAGCTATATCTGCCCTGCAAGGGATCATTTTCTCCATGGACAGTAGGTGCTTGAAAATTCTCGTTTGGGTTTTTTGGAGACAGGATCTTGCACTGTCCCCAACCAAGGCTGGAGTACAGTGGTGTGACCACAGCTCATTGCAGCTTCAACCTCCCAGGTTCAAGCCATCCACCCACTGTAGCCTCCAAAGTAGCTGGGACCACAGGTGCGCACCACCACACCCGGCTGATGTTTGTGGTTTTGCATAGAGACAGGGTCTCACTACATTGCCTGGGCTGGTCTCAAATTCCTGGGCTCAAGTGATCCTCCCACCTAGGCCTCCCAAAGTAGTGGGATTACAGATATGAGCCACTGCACCAGGCCAAGCTTTTTTTAAAAAATTGTATCATACACACATAAAGTTGGCCATGTTAACCATTTGAAAGCGTACAGTTCAGTGGCAGTGAGTGCATTCACAACGTCATGCAACCGTCATCATTATCTAGTTCCACACTGTCATCACCCCAAAAGGAAACCTTACATCAATTAAGCAATAATTCCTCCACTGCTCCCTCCCCCAAACCCTGGAAACCACCCCTCTGCCTTCTGTCTATGGGTCTTCTTATTCCAGATGTTTCATATAAATGGAATCATATCATATGTGGCTTTTCGAGTCTGGCTTCTTCCATTTTTTTATTCAAGGTTCATCCAAGTAGTAGCATATAGCAATACTTCATTCCTTTTTATTGCTGAATCGTATTTCATTATACAGACGCACCACATTTTAACTCTTCATCACCTGATAGGCATTTGGGATATTTCCACTTTGGGCTATTGTAAAAAGTGTTGCTATGAACACATGTGTATAAGTC